ATTCAGCAAATACTAAAACAATAGCAATGAAGGAAGTGATAACATGATTCATAAACAAAACAAGCTCAGCACAGAAAATTATATGGAACAAAGAATCAACACAATGAAAAAGCACATGACAAAAATGACAGCAACAAATTCATATTTGCTGATAATTACATATCTGGCAAAGGACTTATCTCTAAGATTGGTGGAAAACTCCAATGCCTCAACACCAAAGGAATTAACGATCCAATTGAAAAATGGGCAGAAGACATGACTAGACACTTCACCAAGGAGGATATTCAGGTGGTCAGCTAATACATGAAAAGATGCTCACAATCATTGGCCATCAGAGAAATGTAAATCAAAACGAGACATACTGTCTCACCCCAGCACTGACGGCAAGGTTCAATGAGACAGAAAATAACAAATGCTGGTGGGAATGTGGAGAGATTGGGACTCTCATACACTGCTGGTGTGACTGTGAAGTGACACAACCACCATGGAAAGCAATATGGTGATTACTTAGAAAGTTGGAATTGGAGATACCATTTGATCCAGCAATCCCATTACTAGGTATATATCCTAGAGAGGTGAGAGCCAGGATAGAAACAGATACACTCATGCTCATGTTCATCACACAACAGCAAAAAGATGGAAACAACCTATGTGCCCATCAGCAGAAGAGTGGATGACCAAACTGTGGTACATACACTACTGGAACACTATGCAGCACTAAAGAATAATGTAGAGTCTGCCAAACACCGCATAATATGGATAAACTTGGAGGACATTATGCTAAGTGGCATAAGTCAATCACAGAAGGACAAATATAGTATTAGTTCATTGTTGTGGAGGGTCAAGGAAAGGTTTATATATGGAGGGAAACTTTCTTTGTTAGTTGCCAGGGGTAGGAGGGGCAGGGAGGGAACACTGAAAAAAAAAATTCATTGACCCATGTCACTTTAGTTTTGTGTATTTCACTGTACATAAATTATATTTCAATAAAATACATTAATAAAAGAATTAATTATAAATATATGAGTTTATTCCTAGCCTTTCAATTATATTCCATTGATCTATATGTCTATTTTGATGCCAGTCCCACACTGACTTCATTACTATAGCTTTGTAATAGGTTCCAAAATTGGGAAATGTGTGTTCAACTTGGTTCTTCATTTTTAAGCTTGCTTTCTGTATTCTTGGTCCCTTTCATTTTTACATGAATTTTAGCATCACCATGTGATTTTATGCAAAAAAAAAAAAAAAAAGCCACATGGATTTTGATAGAGAATATGCTGAACCTGTAAATCAATATGGGTAATATTGTCACCTTAACAATATTCACTCTTCCACTCCATAAACATGAGATGTCTTTTGTTTAGGTCTTCTATAATTTCTTTCTGTGTTTTATACTTTTCAACATACTAGTCTTACACTTTTTTGTTAAATTTATTCCTAAGCATTTTATCCTTTTTTGGTGCTATTGTAAGTAGAATGTTACCTTGATTTAATTTTTAGACTGTTCATTGCTAGTATATAGAAGTAAAATTGATTTTTGTATGTTGATCTTGTATCCTGAAAACTTGATGAATCACTTATTGCCTCTAACAGTTTGTATGTGTGTGTGTGTGGGGAGGGTGTTCATAGGATTTTCTATATATAAGATCATTTCGTCTGCAAATATAGATTGTTTTACTTTTTCATTCCAATTTAGATGCCTTTTATTATTTTTTCTTGAATAATTACCTTGACTAGAATTTCAGTACAATGTTGAATAGAAGTGGAAAGAACAGACATTCTTGTCTTGTTTCTGAATAAGTTCCTCCATTACCCATTTCCTGTGGGCAGTGAGATACTACACTACAGGGAATGTAACTAGTATCACAAAACAAAATGTACACATGAACTGTTGAATGTAAAACAAATCTGCTTTGCAAAATTTCACCCAGATCACAATAAAAAGTTAAAACAAAACATCATATTGCTTTCTTTGTTAGTCAAGTTAAAGTGGAGAGCAGAACAGAATGTGGAAACTCGTAAGAATTAAAGAAACAACTGGTGATTTCTCAGAGCCTTTCCAAAAACCCTTAAGGAGTTCTGGTAATGTAGTGGTTAAGGTATTCAGCTGCTAACCAAAAAGTCGGCAGTTCAAACCCACTGGCCTCTCCGTGGGAGAAAGGTGAGGCGGTCTCCTTGGAAACCCTAT